TTTCAAAACAGGTTAGTAGGATAGTTACAATAATCAATACGTTGCATTTTGTTGTCTTTGTAGTATTCACAGTACAAGATGCAACCATGATATCTTGTGCAAACACTATTAGTTCAAAACTTTCTTCTCATTGAAGTAAGAGAAAATCAGGCACTTTTTTTTTTTCCAGTACCAGTATTGAACTCAGGACCTTGCGCTTGCCAGGCAAGTGATTATTCTACTGAGCTATCTCCTTGGCCCTCCTAAACAGAATTTTTGATAAAAGAAAATTAATATTCTTTCGTCTGCATTTGGCATCATCATCCTATTCCTTGGGCTGGGAGCTCCCTCCTAAGAGCTCACTGACTTTACAGCTTCTCAGATCAGCAGCCGCTCTTTGGGTGCCCTGTTGTAACTACCCCTCATCATGGCATTATATATTATCCTAGAGCGCCCCAGCTTGTCCCACTCACAAAAAGATGGTTCCTAAAACCTTGGTTCTGTTGTCTGCAGGTGATAAACTGGGAGAGTACACTCCACATTCCTGCCCAGGTCAAGCTGAGCCCTGAGGCCAGGGACCTCATCACCAAACTGTGCTGCTCTGCCGACTGCCGCCTGGGGAGGGATGGGGCTGACGACCTGAAAGCCCACCCATTCTTCAGCACCATCGACTTCTCCAGTGACATCCGGAAGCAGCCGGCCCCCTACGTCCCTACCATCAGCCACCCCATGGACACGTCAAACTTTGATCCCGTGGATGAAGAGAGCCCATGGAATGAGAGCAGTGAAGGCAGCGCCAAGGCCTGGGACACACTCACCTCCCCCAGTAACAAGCACCCAGAACACGCGTTCTATGAGTTCACATTTCGGAGATTCTTTGATGACAACGGCTACCCCTTCCGGTGCCCAAAGCCTTCGGGAGCAGAGACTTCACACTCTGAGAGCTCAGATCTTGAAAGCCCTGATCTGGTGGATCAGACGGAGGGCTGCCAGCCCGTGTACGTGTAGTCACACCCACGCACCCACAGCTGCATCTTGGGAGGGCAGCAGCCCAGCTGCCTCCCACACAGTTGGCGGAAAGCCGGGGACAGCCTTGTTTGCAGCTGGGCTGCTGAGTACTTCACTGAAGTTCTGTTCTTCAAGAAAACCCCAGACGAACAAGAAACTTTTTTTAGAGAAAGGACTGAAGTCTGGCAGACCTTCATTTCTAGGTTCTGGCCGATGGGTGGCAGGGAGGGGTCAACATGGCTTTGAATTGGCTTTAGGGGACCTTCACCGCATTAAAACAATATTTTTAAAAATTTAGAACAGTTTAGAAAGCACTTATTTTGTTGATAACCATTTTTTTCTTACTAAATTATAGGGATTAACTTTGACAAATCATGCTGCTGTTGTTTTCTACATTTGTACCTTATCCATAGCACTTACTCACATTTAGGAGAAGACAGAAGAACTGAAGAACATGTGATAAGAAATCTCTGTGCAATAATGTTAGAAAAAGACGATGCTCTGCTGAGATGTCACAGAGACCATTTTATCCAAACAATGGTTTTTGTTTTGTATTTTTCCCACATTTCAAACTTGTGACATAATGTTAAAAGCTGCTTTTTTGTTGTTGTTTTTTGCATATTATAGTAGTATAACAGAAAGTGTGAGCAGAGTAATGATGTGGGTGTGGTTTCAGATGTCTGGTGTGTGGGAAGTACTGTACTGCATGAGCAGGATTTTTCTATTATAAAATTACCATATCTTGCCATTCACAGCAGGTCCTGTGAATATGTTTTTACCGAGTGTTTTTAACTGAGGTATTCTAGATAGCGTGCTTATTACGTATCGTGTGGGTGGCGTCTTTGCTATGATTGTAGCCCTTGCTGTTTTGTTAAAGAAATGCAGTTGTGTAAATGAGAAGTGATTGTATGTGCACGTTGTATGTGCCTGTGTGCACACGTGTTTGCGTCTTGGGTATGACTGAATTCTTTGGGGGATAAATGTAAACGTTTTCATACAGCAAACTTTATGCATTAAAAGGGATTAATTCAGCTATGCCAAAACGTTTAAGTTAATCGTGGATCTATGTCCATTTCTCTAGTCAGTCTATGCGCTCATTCTTGATGTAGCTGGTATGTGGAATTCAATAGCTAGGACCCTACTACTTAATTTTTTACTGACTGACTACCCACAATGAAAGGTTACATAAACGTTATTCCTTCTGTTGTTTTAGGCAGCTGAGAGGTTGCCACACTGAATTAAATAAACTTGTGGTTCTTTTGCTTTATTTTAAATATGCTTTGAAGTGTCAATTTTCAACTTGGTTTAAACAATACCAGGTTTTTCTAACTTTTGTAAAAAAATTTTAAAAAGTAAAGATTCTTCAAAGTGACATTGGAATAAAAACAATTAAGCCATACATATTTTCCTAGACATATAGGTGTATATATGACTATATAGATAAACACAAAATATTTCTTATTTCAAATTAGTATGGTTTCTATTTAAAGTGATTTGCTATATTTGAGTAAAAATTCAATTCTTTTTTGCTCTTTAAAAAAACCTGATACATCCTATTTTTTATTATATTAGTCCACATATTTTCCTTGAGGTTCTTAGCATAATGTATCCATTATTATTATATATCTAGGCAACAACACTTATAAGTTTATCGATGTCTAGAAAACATCCTGTGTACTGGTTTACATTTGTATGAATGGCATATTCTGAAGTCTGCTGTGCTTGTATTGAGACTTACAGTATTTGCGCTATTTTATAGTAATGCCATGTTATTTACAGCGCTGACATACTTTCATGTGGTAGGTTCTTTCTCAGGAACTCAGTTTAACTATTATTTATTGATATATCATTGCCTTTGAAAAGCTTCTATTGGCACAATTTATTATTAAAACTTTGAATCCAAGTCCTGTGGTTGGTGTCATATGTTACTGGAATTTGAATCTTGCTGTTACCTAGCACAAGCTGCTGACAGAGCCACAGTATCCAGAGGTAGGGAGATGCACCTCTCAGATAGGCTTTGTGTTGCGGAGGGCTCAGGGAAAGCAGAGTTCACACTGGCTGTTCTTTGAACACTTTCTCTGCTGTAAAGTGACAGAATATGCCTCTTTGGGGTTGTTTAGTGGATTAAGCGGGGCAACAAATGTATATGGTAGGCAGTAAAATAAATCATAACTGAGAGCTATTTCCCTTGCACTGTCAGAATATGCTCAAACAGGACAAGCATACACAAACTTTCACTCAAAACGGTGGCTGGAAAGGCTGGTTCTACCTCAGTCAGAGAGGACTTGGCCAAGCAGTGGTAACAGCAACATCAGGGTTCAGAGAAAGTGCTGAAGGCAAAGGCAGAGACCCACAGAGAGGTGAAACATCACAGCAGGCAGGTGGGCAGATAAGATCACAGACCTGACAGGCTCGTTGCAGGCATGCTGAAAGTGAGCTGGTCCAAACTGAAGTCTGGGTGGCAGGTAATTCAAATGGTCCACAGCAAGCAGGGAGAGAGAGAGGGCTGAGCAGAAGACCATCTACCTTGTTAGTGCAGGTAGGACAGCCCTTGCTGGGAAACCACTCAGCTTCATCCACTTGTATTTGGGCAACATCCCAGGGCCTGATGTTCTGAAAAAAGTCAAAGAAGTCAAAAGAATCAGGAAGTCTGAAGTGCCACACCAGAACACATGCATGTTAGACCTCATGACCTGACCTGCAGTAACCTTTTCGCCATGTGTCATATATATAATTTAATTTGAGTGAACTCGGGGACATGCGTGCCTGTTTGGAAGCCCCTGTGATCACTCAGCACTCTCATTCCTGTCCGTCTTACCCACCGACCTAATGAGAGGCACCCAGACTAGGGTGCAAATCTTTTAAAATCCAAATTCTGTTTATCTGTGTGCTTTTGATTTTCCTGTCCTCCCAACAGCACTTTTCTGTTTGTGCCAGATTTTAGTTTCTTTTGGCACAGAAATGCTCTGAGCACTTTTTCTTTTGTTTTTTTGTTTTTGAAACAGGCTTTTGCTATATAGTTCAGGTTGGCCCTGTGCTCACTGTATAGCCCACATTGGCCTCAAACTCTCAAGAATCCACCTGCCTAAGTCTCCTGAATACTGGAGTTATACACACAGCTTAAAACTTTAGTTATCTTCAATACATGTAGCTGCTGTTTCTTTTACCACTCGGACACTTCCGATTCATTACTTGCCATGCGCAGCCTGGAATCTGTCAGATCCACCACATGGTATCATTTGGTGAGCCAGCCAAGAGACATCAGCAGACATAAATGACTAACAGCTAAAAGAAGCCCCATCTCCAGGGCTAAGGGGAATCTACAGCAACAGATAGTGGGCTTCAAGTGCAAGTGACTGGGGCACTTGGCAAAGCAGTTCCCTCCAAAGCCACCAAACCTTTGTGGAGTATCAACATGGAAGAAAACCTTTGACATTGGAGGAGGGACTGCCCTTGTTCTCAGGGATGAAGTCATCCATCACCATGGTGGCCAGGGAGAAATGCCTGGACATCAAATGCTGGTTCCTGAAGAGGCCTGCATAGCCCCACCACCAAGGGCATCTTCATCCCCATGCAAAAGCCTTGAATTAGCCTAGACACAGAAGACCAGCCTCTGTGACACTGGCATGACTTATTCTGTTCTAATTTCTTATTGAGGTGAGCTTTCATCCCAGTCTAAAGTTATTATGAGCCTTGATGGAGTTACCACTACTCTAAGCTAAAATTTGGAAGACTTTATTTTCCAACTTGCCTTATGGTGACACTGGATTGCTCATACCAATAATTTATAAGAAGAAAAATATATATAAACTCTTCCTACTCAAGGCCACTTTGACATGCAAAACTGTGGCAACCTATGCCCTAGTTGCAAGGGACCCAGTTAGCCTGATCCCATAGGGCCTAATTTCTCTGCTGGGAGTTGATCCCTAAACTTGGTATGACAGCACCCTGGGGAAGGTTGTCAAGATCACCCCAGTAGTTGTTCAGCTGAAGGACCCTAGTCTACTCTCTCACAAAAGATAGTATTACCATAAAAGAAAAACTATACAGAGTTTGATGTCCTTTGCTGATAAATTTCCAGTTACAGGTTGCTAATGCCTTGCCAGTCTCTGTACAATCCACCCATTTTACCAATAGTCAAGCCACCAAGAGAGTATCACCTGTTATGGCTTATGTCTAGATGTCCCTGCAAAGCCTCATGGAGTTATAGGTGGGACTTTTTCAGAGACCCTGAATCTAGAATATGTGATTGATTCATGGTGCAGTGCTAGGATTAAGGGTGGGCGATATTATTACATCAGTCCGCTGATTAGTTTGGCACCACCCTACTTCTGGTAACCTAGATACAACATAAGGGACAGAAAGAGACTTGTCCCTTGCTTGCTTTGCTGCCTTCTGCCCATCATGAAATATTGACTTTTGCAATGCTTGTCTGAAATCCACCCCGCCTTGGAGATAACTAATTATGGACTGAAACCTTTATAAACTGTGAGCTAAGTAAGCTTTTCCTTCCTTAACTTGTGGGTGTCAAGCGTTTTGTTTCAGTCATGAGAAAAGTGAGTCATGCCTAGTACAAGATTTCAGAGCCATCAATGAGTCAGTGGTACACAAACATCTTTTAACACAGATCCCAGGGGACACACTAAAATGTTCTCTGTTCCTGATCACAAAAATGCCTTCTTTCTATCCATGTGGATCCTACCACTCAATATTTTTTGCCTTTGAAAGGGAAGAGCCCCAAATGAGACTTTGCTAGCAGGATACTACTTGGACTATCTTGCCTTAGTGCTTTGGTAATGGCCCCCATCTGTTTGTGTGAGTCTTAGCTCAAGACCTAGGGCAACTAAAGTTTAAGAAGACAGCCTATTTCAATGCACAGATGACCCCTTCATTTGTAGTCTTACCAGAGTTATCTGATAAAAACACTATTAAAACTCATTTTTCTAGCCAAAACAGAGTTATAAGGTATCCCAACACAAAGTCCAGATTTCTCAAAACAACAACAAAACATACTGGGGATATGTTTTAACACAAAGAGAATTGTTCTCAGGGAAAACAGGCCATTTGCAAATTTGCCCAATTCACCAGTGGGTCATTTGGAATCTAAATAGTAGCTAAATGGCATGATTGGAAATGGCATGATTCTGCTACATATGGATACCCCGTTTTGGAGTAATAGCCAAGTTCCTGTATGTAGCAACACTAGGACCAGAAACAAAACTCTTCACATAAGCATCAGCTGTGCAAGAGGCTTTCAAGGCTTTAAAACTGGCCCTGATGCAAGCAAGCCCCAACATAAGGAATTCTGGACCTGACTAAGCCTTTTACTCTATTCATGGCTGAAAACAGGGAGTAGCCACTGAAATGTTAACTCAGTGTCAGGGCCAGGAAATTGACCAGTTGCCTTCTTTTCCAAATGAGTAGATGGGGTGGTACAGGGCTGGCCTAGCTGCCTGTGAGCAATAGCTGCTATGGCACATTGAATCCAGGAAACTTATAAGATAACCTTGGGACAGAAGCTCTCAGTTTTAGGGGCTGGTCAAATAGCTCAGCAGATTAAAGTGCCTGCAAGCAGGCGCAGGGGCCTGGGGTTCGATCCTCAGGCCTGCTGTAGCCCCGCCCCCCAGGGCCCAACGAGACGGCAATTAAGACTATGTGTGGTGGTGTCCACCTGTAATCTCAGCTCTTGGGAGGCTGTGAACAGGCAGATCACTAGGAGTCTGATCTAGTAGTGAGACCCTGAACACCCTGTAGACCCTTCCCTAAAATACAAAAAAAAAAAAAAAAAAATTAAATAAATAAATAAAAGTTAAGCTCTCAGTTTTAACTACACACCAGGTTAAGGCTTTGTTAGAACTTAAGATCTGGGAGGAAGCTGCACCCTTCGTGCGTCTGGTGTGTTTAATAAGTTCACAACCCTGTTTTTTTCTTTTCTTTTTTTTTTTTTTCTTTTTTCTTTTTTGGCAGAACCAGGGATCAAACTCAGGCCCTTGCGCTTGCCAGGGAAGCACTTATTCCACTGAGCCATCTCCCCGGCCCTCCTGTTTTTTTCTGATGTGCCCCTTACTTGATAAGTTTACAAATGATGGTTTTTTATCAGCATGATTAATTTGACAGTTGGTGCCTTATGACTATGCTGAGTGACCAGGTGCTCTTTTTTGTAAATTTGCTGTGCCCAACATCAGGTGATTTTCTGTTTGGTCAGATGACCTACCAACTCATCCTGTCTCATCATTTGTACTAAAAGGGGAACAAACCACTGTTTTTTAAAATGGAGTCACTCTGTGCAAGCTCAACCTAAAGCCTATTGTTCTGTGAACAGCAGTGCCTACCTGCTCTAGAGTTTTCCAAAGCAACTATACTAGTTTACCTTTCTACCAGCAGTGTATGAGGGCACCAATCTCTCGCTCTGGACAGTGGTGGCAAACCTGTGGCATACATGATATTTGTTTTTCTTTTAAGATAAAAGCTATTGGGGGGCCTGCCCCTTAGCTCAGTTCTTTGGGGCCGGGGAGATGGCTCAGCGGAATAAGCGCTTCCCTGGCGAGCACAAGGGTCTGAGTTCAATCCCTGGTTCCGGGGGGAAAAAAAAAAAAAAAAGAAAAAGCTATTAATATATGAGTTGTATAGAAAAATGACTCAAGGCAGAGAACACTTAACAGGCTTTGGTAAAGGCAACAAGGCGTATGATTTAATACCATGGTGTAGGCAGACAGAGGGAGTGTCTTAGTTACTCTTCTCTTGTTCCTGGGACAAATACCCTACACTCAAAATGAAGGAAGGAAAGCTTTATTTAGCTCACAGTTACTGGAGGTTTCAGTCCATACTCAGCTGGCTCCAAGGCAGAGCGGCTCATGGCAGAGGGCAACCTTTCAGGGCAGCAGCAAAGAGAAAGAGCACAAG